TGTAGGAGGTCGGGGATTGAAAACAATTGAAAGTGTATACAGCCGTGTCTAAAGTGTGAAGGTCATGCCTGACCACAAAGGACGAAAGGAGAAAAAACAGGATATAGGGATAGGCAGTGAAAACAGGAACTTGTAACCGCAGAGCATTAATGACGCCAATAGAAGTAACCAATGAGGAGAACCCCTTGTTCGCATGTATTGCGCGTGGACAAGGTGTAATAGCCAATAAGCTTTTGCGTGACCGCGTGTACGGAAATGCAACAGACATAAGTGTAGTTACAGAAGCTGCAATAAACGGAGTTCTGCTTTACCTACATCGTGTCGGTGTTCTTGCTCCCCTCCACCTGGCCGCTGCACTCTGGTGACCCCGACGTGATACTGCACGGACGCTGCGGACGAGAGACGGTGGAGACCTCCCGGCTGCTAGAAAAGCAGGCTGCTCGAGAAGCAGGACCTTTGTTGTGGCCACGGCTGACCGGTGAGTCAGGCAGACTGCGGTCTGGATGGGATGGGTGCCGCTGTATCAGAGATAGAACGAGCTACAGTGGACGGGTTGCTCAGTGTAGCGAAAAAGACTGGGCACACACTTCCTCGAGCTGAGCTCGTGGACTTCTTGTATTGGTGTCGGAGACGCGGTCTCTTGACTTCTTCTGATCAATTATTTGATACCGAACATTGGGAAAAGATTGGGTCTGAACTATGGCAAAGTGTGCAGAACGGCCTGAAGGGGAGCAAGCAGATGGCACAGATCTTCCGAATAGTTCGGGAGATGATTCAACAAGTCCATGCTGATGCTGAAATCGCCACCGCTTTACAAAGAGCCCTCGATTGCTCCACACAGCCGAAGGAGAAGGAGAGGGATGAGGGGGGAAAGGACAGTTGTTCGACGCTGATAGACTGGGAGTCAAAACCTGATTCTCCCCCGTCGTACCCCACAGTAGCAGCGCCTATGTTCCGGGGAGGTTTTGAGGATCTTATTCCCCCTTGGGATCCAAATGAGACACCTGCTGGGGCGGCTGCTGCCCCCCCTTCTGCGCCTCCCCCCCCGGAAGCTATGGAGGTCGATCCAGCTAAAGTGCCATTACCAGAGGACGAAAAGGCGTCTCCCCATAGCCCTCTTATCGACGAGCTACGGTTGCAGCGAGAACAGATGGCTAAGTTGATGGGGGCAATGCAGGAACTTGACCCTAAAGGGGGAAAGGGTAAAAGGCGGGAGTTATATGAGAAAGCAACCAAAGCGGTACAACAAGGGATACAGAACATAGAGGAGCAGCTTAATAGGCACGAGGCGGCGGAATGGGGAGGCAGGGAGGGAATCAAACGAGCTATCCTGCAGCGTAAACTGACAATAACGGAGGGGAATCAGTTGACACGACGGCTCCTAGGGGCGCCAGAAGGGCTTATGACGGGAGAAAAAGAACAATTGCAAAGGGCATTAGACGAAGGTATAGAGGAGGTAGACGACCGTAAGGGGTATTTTGATAGGCTTAAGGGGTATTTTGATAGGCGTGGGGCAGACGGAGCAAGAGGGCCTCCACGAGATGATTCCTTTGATCCGACCAAGCGTTGGAGGGGTTTTTTAAGTCAGGCGGATTTAAAGGGGACAGTGATTCTTGAACCCATTATTGCTGCCCCAGTACATGTCACCCCTCAGGGTCCCCGACAGTGGGTTCCTCTAGATTGGACAGCAATCTCAAAATTACAGCAAAGCATTATGGCTTACGGACCTAACAATTCTGCTGTAAGGCGACAATTGAGTGCCTATGTAAAGTACCAGGAGCTTATTCCTGCTGATATAAGAATGATTATGGAAACTCTGCTTGGTACCACCGCATATACGGTTTTTTTTAGTAAAATGGCAAGAGCGCTTAGAGGCATATCAGCTGCAGAATCTTAATTTACCTGATGGGGACCCCCTACAGGTGGCAACGTTGGAGATGCTTATGGGGTCTGGTCAGTTTAGAGATCCACAACGCCAGGCAGCTTTGCATCCTAGAATTTTAGGACAAGCTAAGGCTGCTGCTTTAGAAGCTTTTAACACCTTGCCGCAAATGGGGAAACCGAATCCTCCTTATCTTCAAATACGGCAGGGAGAAAACGAATCCTTCTTAGGATTTGTGGATAGGATTCGTGAGGCGATTGATGTTGCGCCCGATATAGATGAAACCATAAAAACAACATTACTTAAAGAAGTTGCATCCCAAAATGCAAATCGTACTTGTAAACGCTTGTTGCAGTCGCTTCCGCAGGGCTCCACCTTAGTGCAGATGATTGAACGCTGTTCGCGCGCACCCTGGGAGGAAGAGAAACAGCGCGCTAATATACATGCCGTAGCTCTTGCCGCTGCCTTAAAACAAAATGGGCCCGGAGGGTGCTTTACTTGCGGTCAGTTAGGACACCTTAAGCGCGACTGCCCAAAAAAAGGAAGGCAAAAAATAGGGAAGGATGAAGGAACAGGAGGGAGTATTGTCTGTCGCCGATGTGATAAGCCGGGGCACAAAGCTACGGAATGTAGATCCCGTTTTAAGAAAGATGGAACCCCCTTGTCGGAAAACTCCCAGCGCCGCGGGTTGGGCGCGGCTTCAAAGTACCCAGCAATGCGACCTTTGGTAGCGACCACGGGCCACTCAACTCCAGCGACAAACCCTCTGGCTGCCTCCATGAACTCGCCGCAGCCACTGCAGGAAGCGCGGGAGTCGATCTGGCCCTGGCAAGAACAGTAACTATATCTGATTCTTCGGTAACATTGCTTGATTCCACTGTGTCAGGGCCGCTTGGATATGGATTAAGTGCATTGCTACTCGGCCGCTCCTCAGCAAGCAGACAGGGAATCTTTGTGCTCCCTGGTGTAATTGATGCTGACTATACGGGTCCCATTAAAATTATGGTCCAAGTGTTTGCACCCCCTGTCACTCTTCATCAAGGAAGCAGAATTGCTCAATTGATCCCCTTTAAGGCTCAAGTGCCAGTAAAAAGGGAAGTAGAGAGAAAGGACCGAGGGTTTGGAAGTACTGGCAGTACGTCCGGGCCCACGGTGTTCTTTACCACCGTGCTTGCTGAGGAACGGCCAACACGTTCTGTCATTATTAGCCTGCGGGAAGAACCTCTTCATCCTACGCCTGTTAACATGATGCTGGACACCGGAGCTGATGTTACCATCATACCCTTTAGCTATTGGCAATCACATTGGCCACTAAAGCCGGTAACCATCGCAGTTAGTGGCGTTGGAGGAGATTCGAAATCTATGCAGAGTCAAGAATTTGTCTGTTTTAGAGATGAAGTAGAAGGCCAAAGGGCCTGGGTAAAACCTTATGTTATGCATACCCCTCTTTGGATTCTGGGCAGGGATGCCATGAGTCAATGGAATCTGACACTGTGCACTCAAAATTTACGGTAGTGGCCATTGAGGGGCAGAGGCCACCCATATTAAAAATTCAATGGAAATCTAACGATCCAGTATGGGTGCCTCAATGGCCTTTGTCGGAAGAAAAGTTGCAAGCTATAGAAGCTCTGGTTGCAGAGCAGTTAGAATTGGGACATATTAAGCCCTCTGTCAGTGAATGGAATACTCCTATTTTTACTATCAAGAAAAAATCTGGGAAGTGGCGTTTATTACATGACCTTAGGGCTGTTAACGCCATAATGAAGCCCATGGGGGCCTTGCAACCTGGCCTCCCTTCCCCAGCGGCATTGCCACAACATTGGCAGTTATTAATTATAGATTTGAAGGATTGTTTTTTCTCTATTCCATTGCATCCCGATGATTCTGAAAGATTTGCATTTACAGTGCCTCAGAAAAATGCTGGGAGGCCGTCGAAACGATATGAATGGGTTGTCTTACCACAGGGAATGCGAAATAGTCCAACGATTTGTCAATGGTATGTGGACTTGGCCTTAGAGGCCTGGATAAAAGAACACCCTGAATACATTACATATCATTACATGGACGACATCTTAATCGCATCCCCTAATGTCATGCCAGCAGAGGCTGAAAAGGACCTAATTCACAGACTACAGCACTTTGGACTTACTATTGCCCCAGAAAAGGTTCAACGACAACCCCCGTGGCAATATTTAGGAATGCTTGTGACCGAAACGCGAGTTCGACCAGGGAAATTGCAATTACAACGTTCAGTTTCCAATATAAATGATGTCCAAAAGCTAGTTGGAGATATACAATGGATTAGGACATGGTGTGGGGTTACAAATGAGGATTTAGCCCCTCTTTTTTCCCTATTGAGTGGTTCCCAAGAACCATGGGAACCTAAAACATTAACTCCAGAAGCGCAGCGTGCACTCACAGTAATTGAACAAAAGATAGACCAACAACAAGCTTATCGCTATAACCCCTCCTATCCTATCTGTATTATAATTTATGGCTCCTTTTCTAACAGATCAGCCCTCATTGCTCAGATTCAGAAAAAAAATCTAACCATTTTAGAATGGGTATTTCCCCCTTTTTTACCCCCTACTACCATACTGACTCCCCAGGAATATGTAGGCCTGTTACTATTGAAGGCTAAAGAGAGAGTGCGTCTCGTATTTGGAAAGGATCCTGATTCGTTTATTGTCCCCTGGAAAACCACACAATTGGTGCATGAATGGTCACAACAAAGTTACTCTTTTGCCTTAGCTTTAGCTGGTATCCCACTCAGTACTAATTATCCTCCCCATCCTTTATTTAAGACCACGTCTATTATCACACGAGGTCCACTGGTTGTTTCGAAACCTATCCCCCATGCTCTTACCGTCTTTACGGATGCAAGCGGTCGTTCGCACAAATTTGGGTATGCCTGGAAGATGAATGGAAAATGGAATACTAAAGTGTGGGAAGATAAAGACGTTCATTCTGTACAGGTTCTTGAGCTAAAAGCTGTGGTCTACGCCTTACGCGATCATCCCAGACAAGCTCTCAATATTATTTCTGATTCGGTGTATGTTGTAGGATTAATCAATCGAATAGATTATGCTAAGCTTGGGAAGATAAGTAACCCTTTAATTGCTATGTTACTTGTTTCTTTACATGGGTTGATTCTTGAGAGGGCCGACCCCCTCTGGTGCACCCACATACGCAGTCATACGACACTCCCTGGCATCTTTGCGGAAGGCAACGCTGCCATTGATGCGACTGTGGCTAGTGGACTGGTCCTCCACGGATTCTCGGCTGCCCAGCAGGCGCATGCATTTTATCACCAGTCTGCCCGAGGTTTGCAAATGGAATTTGGCATCCCTCGGGCTCAGGCACGTGCTATTGTCGCTGCCTGCCCGGACTGCGCTCGTATACTGCCCCTCCAAAAAGGGGGGGTGAACCCTCGTGGATTAGGAGCTCGAGGAGTCTGGCAAACTGATATTACTGAATTTGCCCCTTTCGGACGCTTCCGGTACATTCATGTGTCAGTAGACACATTTAGTCATGCTGTTTGGGCTACCGCTGCTACGTCCACTGCCTTTCGTGCTGTAAAGTACCACTGGTTGCAAGCTTTTGCAGCCCTTGGACTCCCTAATACCATTAAAACCGACAATGGCTCTAGCTATACGGGGAAATGGGCCGCTTCATTTTTACACCTTTGGGGAGTCAAGCATATCACTGGAGTACCCTATAATAGCACAGGCCAGAGTATCGTGGAACGTCGACACCAGGACATTAAGCGTTTGCTCCGTGTTTTGAAAAAAGAGGGGGAACTGCTGCTCTCTCCACAGGATAGACTGATGAAAGCCTGCTATGTACTGAATTGGAAAAATCCAGTACAGCTTCACGACAACCGTTACGCGGTACCCACGGACATTCATTTTTCTAAAGAAAATCCAGTGCTACACGTCCCCGTACAAACGTGGGACCCTCGGAGCCAGCAATGGGGAACTGTACCCGACACATTGTTAACCTGGGGTCGGGGTTATGCTTGTGTGTCCACAGGACAAGAACAGCCTCGGTGGATACCGGCTCGGTGGGTAAAGCCCTGGCTCTCCAAGGTGGATGCAGCAGCAACCGAGAATAACGATACAGGAAGCGATCCGACAGCTTGACGGAACATCACGACAGCGCATAGATCAAAAGATCGCTTTAACACAGCGACGAGTGCTGTGCTCGACGGTGGCGAAAGAGGCCAGTGGATGGTATTGTCACCAAGAACCTTCATTGAATAATTGCTTGTGTATCCTTGAACTATTATCATTAACTGTTCGCAAGGCGTGGGATAAGCAGCCCTGTCTGGTATGTCAAAGTGAGCTCTGTTTTTCCTGGGTTGCTCTGAAGTGTGGGGGTTGTAATCACAAAATTTGGTGGAATCAGAAATTAATCTATAAGAAATGGTGCCCAAGGTGTGAATATAAATATCAGACTGCAACGTGGGAGCAGGAGCTTTTCCAAATTCAACAGCGGCAGTTACACTTTGAATCAATAGAGCAGAAAATATTAGCATACTGTAGGTGGGCCTTGGAGATAGAAATACACCGCCTGGAGAGTCAAGAGAAAACACACATACTTCAAGTACGGTGCAGTCGGAAGGTACCCCTTAGATTTTTTACATCAGTAGGGCCCTTCAGAGGAAGCCCTGACCAAGCGTTGGCAGAAGCAGTTCAAAGGTTTGTTAGAAATGAAGGGTATCAGGGTATTGTTCGTGTTGCTCGCTTCCGGCGTCGCCTCTTGGCTAACGAAGATTGACCAGAGGCAAAACATGTGGATTACATGGGCCAACCAGACTAATCTAACATCTTTCTGCTTATCTTTAGCCACACCTTCCGATCCATTTCGTACTTGTCTACTGGGTGTACCCTTTCAGTCATACACCGACCTTTTAGTTATGAGGGGATGGATAAGTCCCAATGTTCCAATGCCCCACAATGAAAGCCAATTTATAATTCAACATTGCACTTACACAGCAAGCCTCAGCAATAACAAGAGTACCTGGGGAAATGAGACGTGGTGTAGGACGCAGATTAAGTTAAGAAATAAAGACGGTCTTGCCGTATACCAATGGGGACTTGCAATTTGGACACGTAAGATAGTAATGAATTTAAATCGTACTGGTATAGAGCCACAAGAATTAGAGCTGTTGGGCTCTAAGCCAGGGAATTATTGTGTTGTATTCGGGGGTCATTATAAAGACTCAGAATACAGGCCCCTGTTCAATAAAAGTGTGATAGTAACCCCCTCTAATGTCGAAATCTACAATTACAGCTTGGGAAGCCCCTATTGCTCGAACGGGGTAGACTTTATCTATGCCTTTAAGAAATCCCCACGTCGTCTACCCCCTGGTACGTTTCTGGTCTGTGGGGACAGAGCCTGGAACGGCATTCCCGCTAACCCATGGGGAGGCCCCTGTTGGCTAGGTAAGTTGACTTTGTTTTCCCCACAACTAAGAGATTTACAAAACATTACCCGGTCATCCAAAAGACGGAAAAGGAGTATAACCGTAATGGATCAAAGCTGCAACTCTCATATGCTTTTATGGAATTCCCCAATTCAAATCTTGGCTTCTATTTTTGCTCCTCATGTTGCAGCAGCCCATGCGTTGAGACAAATAACACGATTAGCATGTTGGGCCGGGAAGCAGGTCAATATCACCTCTGACATTATAGGGCAACTTACTCTCGATGTTGACTCTGTAAGGCATGCGGTGTTACAGAATCAAGCAGCTATCGATTTCCTGCTTTTAGCACATGGACACGGGTGTGCAGAATTTGAAGGCATGTGTTGTTTCAACTTATCTGATCATTCCGAGTCTATACACAAGAAGTTACAAAAGTTACAAGACGGAATGCACAATTTGCTAATCAACAGCAACCCTTTTGATGGTTGGCTACGCTCTTTGGGAATAGGAAATTGGCTGCGCAACATAATAATGGCTTTAGCAGGTCCTTTTATCATTATATTGCTTTGTCTTTGCTGTGGGCCCTGCTTATTACAATGCATAGTATCGCAAGTGCATAAGGTACTGGATGTGCTATTAGAAAAAAGAGGGGGAAATGTAGGAGGTCGGGGATTGAAAACAATTGAAAGTGTATACAGCCGTG